CACCTCCTCCTGGAGGCCTCCCCTGACTCCCATGCAGCTTGGCTCCCCTGCCTAGTCCTGGCAGTACCTGCAGCTCCTCTATCACAGCACTGACCACACACGACCCTGCATGTGCCAGCCACCCACCCATCTGTCTCCCCACCTAGACTGGGAGCTCCTTGGTGGCGCCTTTTGTTTTTGACTTCGAGGCACCAACATGGTGTCTGTGTGTTCAATAAGTATTTGTTAAGTGAATCACTTCCTACCCCTAACACTAAATTGTGCCCGGCTGCCACCCCAGGAGCAAATGCGCCTGGCTGCCCCCTGCATGTAGGCCCCTTCCTCCTCTGCCCCTTCCTTCCCCAAATGAGAGAATGTGCCCCATCCATCAGGGGCTGCTCTAACCAGCACTACTGTGGGCATCAGGAGCCCTGTGTCCTGCCTCTGCTATCATTTTGTGGCCACAGCAGCTCCTATTTTCCTGCTCTGTGTGTAAAGAGAAAAAGAGAAGGATGGGAGGCAGGCTAGTCAGCTCTGAGGTCTCTTTCAGCAGAGAGAGTCTGTGACTCTCCCACATGTGTCCAGCGTTGTGGCTCTACTTCGGGCCCATTAGGGCAAGGAGGTGGCCCCCAGGAGGCAGCAACACAGACACCGCAGGCCGGGGTAGCTGGGGATATGCCTGCCCCACCCAGTGGGAGGACACTCAGAGTCCCCTGTTTTCTGGGAAGGAGAAAGGCGCTGAGCCTGCCTGGAAACCTGAGGGACAGCAGGACTCCTTGTTCCTTCTCTCTAATGTAATGCACATTCCCCACTTAAAGGCAATTTCTTCACTTCAAAAGGATTCCAGCTGGTTAAATTCAAGGTGAAGAATGAGTCTCAGTCAAGAAGCTTCTCAGGGGCCTTTCAGTTTGCATCGTCTTGAAAAGGGATGCATTTTAAGACATTTGCCTCTTAATGTTTGTCAAAGCACCAGGGGAGGAAGCTTCTTCTTATTTCGACACCTCTCTCAGCTCTCGGGGCTGTTGGCACAAGGACCATCCACATTTCCCTGCACCACTTTGTCTTTTGGGAAACCCACTGGACTTGTGTCCTGGCTTCCCCCTTCCCAGCCCTGAGCCCCCACCCACCCTGGACGGAGGAGAGACCAGCTCTGGCCCCAGGGTCCACCAGACTCGCCAAGGCACCCAGCAGTTTAAAAGGCAGGCAGGCCATGGACTCACACATCACATGGTTCACACTCCAGGAGGTGTCCTTCCACCTGCCATTAGTTCATTCTCTCACTCACTCACCTAGTCGGCTGACGTGCAGTCTGCCGCGCTGGTAGGGTCTGTGGGTGGTCTTACTTTCCTACACCTTATAAACTGGCCAAGGCTATGCAGGATAGAAATAAGCAACCATAATACAAGACAGAAGGAAGTAAATGCCAGGTCTGGTGGGTAGGGGACATTTAAAAACCTCAGAGAAAGAAGAGACCAGCTAGGGAATGAGGAGAGGACCAAGAAGGAGACAGTCAGGGAAGGCTTCTTAGAAGAAGAAGCATTTTGGTGCTGGCAGGGTATCCTCAAGAATGGGAAGTGGCCTGAGCAAAGGTGTGCAGGCAGGAAGAGCTCTGGTAGGCACAGAGGCACTGTCCCAGGCCAAAGCACACCTCCTTCCAGGGCCTCACCCCTTGCTTAGTGGCCGTGGTGGTTGGGGGGGGGGGCTCCCAAGGCATGGCATGCCTGCTGGCAGCTGCTGCTTTGGTGGTGTTGCTTTAATCACCTTTGAAACAAAGCACTATGGGCACCTGGGTGGCTCAGTGGTGGAGCATCTGCCTTTGGCTCAGGTTGTGATCCTGGGGTCCTGGGATGGAGTCCCACACTGGGCTCCCTGCAGGGAGCCTACTTTTCCCTCTGCCTGTCTCTCTCTCTCTCTCTGTGTCTCTCACGAATAAATAAATAAAATCTTTTTTTAAAAAAAGGAACAAGGCACTGTCCGTATATAGCCAGTCACTACCTACTTGCCCTTTCTCATTAGTCCCTGGGCTCAAAGGAAATGCTTTCGATCCTCTTCTCTGTCACTAAGGACTCAGGCTCCCCTGCCCACACTTCTGAGATTCCCAGATAACATTCACTTGCTCCCCAACTTTTTCAGTCACTCTCTAGAGGTGTTTGCTCCCTCTACCCCTTCAGAGAGGCTTTGCCCATCATTTCCTTTCTCGTTGTCCCTGGCCTGTCTTCCCTTTCACCAACTGCCCCCTCCCCACCCTTAGCAACCACTGCTGTCTATCCCAGGAAACCCATTCAGCAAGCCAGTCCCCAAAGGTACCAGCACTCTGATGTCTCCCCTGGGAGCTATTGCCAGTAGTCCGGTTGGCGGTCAAGCATTTGGAGTTGGGCAAACCTGGGTTTAAACCCTGGCTCTGCCACTTTCCAGCTCTGCACTTGCTCTGATGAATTTCTTCCATAGTATCTTCTCTTGTTTTTCTGACTCAGTATTCTCCTTTGGAGAAACCATTCTCTTCTGCTCTCAGCCTCTGAGACTTAATGGGGCTACCCAGGGTCATTGGCTCAGGGATAGGCATATGATCTAAGCAGGACAAATCCTGGGATTTTTAATGGTTGATAGCATCAATCTATTCCTACTGTGATTGATAAACTAGGAACACAAATCTGAAGCTGATGGGATTGTCTTTGCCACCACAAGGAAAGAGTCTATTTACACATAGAACCAGCATAAGAAAAAGTAGAGAAAAGGGAAAAATCGATTTCTGGTGACACTGTTTGAGCACCTGGATCCAGCCATGCCTGATGCTATCCCTGGAGTTTTCAGTTTGTGAACCAACAATTTCTCCCCTCTTTGGCAAAAGCCAGTTAGAGTTGGCTTTTGTCACTTGCCGCTAACAGTCTCAACTGAAGAAATACTTCACTTGCAGACTTTGATGAAAAGTTAAGTGAAATGATACATGAATAGTATCCAGCAATCCAGCATAAAGTGGGTACCACTCAATTAACGGTGTTTTTTTTTTTTTTTCAGAAACTCTAACTGAATCTGCCTTGTCAAACACCAGTTACATTTCTGAGAAGAAACTCGAGTTCTGTGGCAGTAGAATATTACTTTTTCTTCCTTTGTTTCCATGACTTTGACCAATCTTTTCCTTGCGAAATCTCTCCTCGGCTTTCTTGACCACAGCTCTGTGTCCTTCATAATTCTCCAGGTTTTCTCCCCCAACCCCGCCTCTGGACTGAGACAGGGTGGGAGATTTCATGACCTGGAAGGGGTGAGGTCTTCTCTGCATTCTATGCCTACACCCAGAGGGACAATCAGTGAAGACCAAGCTGAATCCAATGCAGACTTCTGAGCTTGCATCGCACCAAGCACACCAGGCAGTCAGCAAAGTCTGCACTGCCATCTAGTGGACATCTGCTCTAAGATCACGCAGCGTGGAGCCCTTGGAGAATCCCCCCCACCCCCCACCCACGGGGGACAGTCACTGGGCTGCCAGAAAGTATTCCATTCGACCATGTTACTCTTTCAGTGGCAAAGCCAAGGACAAGTGAATCAACGGCCAAGTCAAGCATCTTCTCCCAGGAGCAGCATTATACTCTTCCCTACAGGACTGGGTTCTGCTCGGCTTCTGCAGCTCTCCCCCCTCCTGATCCAACTTAGAATCTTAGTGGCCTATGTTTTCTCGGCTTCTCCCACACGTCCACCCGTGTGACCCAGGCCGAAGGCCTCCAGGGAGGAGAGCTGACAGGTGCACGTGTGCTCGTGCGTGTGCATGCATCTTCACTTGCGTGAGGCCTGGAGGGGTTGAGGGAGAGGAGACTGGGAAGGCCTCCTCATTACCTGCGTGCTTAGCCTCCCGGAGGAAAGGATGTTTGCAAACACAATAGCGAGTCAAAGCTTCATGTTTTCAAGCTCATAAGTTGTGGGACACACCACAGTCTATTGGTTCCCTGCTAGTGAAAACAGTTCAAGAAAGCGAGAAAAATCTACCCTCTACATCTGAGTAACCTGTGCTCCCCCCACCCCAGAACTTGCTATTTGTTGTGTTTGTCATGACCGCTGTCAGACCTGATGAACAGCAGCATTGATTGTCCCCAGGCTGGCTCGGCAGAGGGGAAGAGCCAGCAGTGGCCTCTCCCTCCCGCAGTGCACAGAGGGGACCAGAGGGCTGTGCACGTGATGTGCATGTGGTCGCATCCCTGTGGCCCTTCTGTCTCCACCCATTTGTGACCTGATTCCTGGACACATCACAGGCCTCGTGTGTAGGTTGGCATTGGTACCTCCTACTAAAACACAGCAGATGAAGCAAGAGTCACCCTCCAGTACTGACACTTTGGGGACTTGGTGTGACCCAGGAATCAAGGAAGAAACAAACAGTGGCTTTAACACCAGAGCAGTGCCACCAGGACATGGCCTGGCCACTGGAAGCCCCAGCCACAGTCCCACTTCCCTGGGCTTACTACACCCCCAAACTAAGGGAAGCATCCGGAACAAGACAGTACTCATCATTTCCTAGTAAAAAGAATAGTTATTTCCAATTCCTAAAAATGTTAGGTGTGTTTCATGTCGCAAAGACGGAGTCAAGATGCACAGTTCTGCTTGCTTAGCCTCCGCGAGGAGCACTGCCCATTACCAACTAGCTCCTCCCCATTTAAAGATCATTCTGAAAGCCCCACCACCTCGCACCTTGGGAAAGGACTCTTTCTCTCTTCCTTGTCTCTGCCAACTTCAAAGCACACACCAGCCGGTCTGTACACATGCTCCAGGAACCGGGAAAGGCCTCGACGGAGCAGTCCCAGAGTTCCATTCACACTCCCAGTCTGCAGCCCTCCTCCCCACCCCAACCTCCTCCAAGGCCATGGGAATGCTCTAAGGAAGGCATGTGCTTATGACATCAGCCATCTGAGAACATGAGACCCAACCCAGACGGCCCTGCACAAGGCTTCAAGTCACCCAGAAGAGCGGGCTCAGATGGAAACCAAGACCCATGGTCCTCCTCCTCCTCCTCCTCCTCCTCCTTCCTCCTCACTCACCTCCAAAGCCCCAGGGAACTTGACTATGGGCTCAGCCCAGTGGGTGATCTTCTGTCGGTAGTTGTTGCAGTCAGGAACAAACATGCAGCCAATGTTCCCCAGCTCTGGGTAGAAAACTTCAAGGCCCCTACCGAGAGAGGGAGATGGTCAGCGCATGTAGTTCTGGGGGAGCCTGCAGGGTTCACAGGCTTCAGGACAGCACCATTGGGAATGGAGGGTCAAGGAGGATCGAATCCCAGGCCTGCTACTAACTAGCATGACCGGTGTGGTTTAGGATCTACTTGACCTCTTGGTGGCTCAGTTTGTTCACCTGTAAAATGTGGACACTGACAGTACCTACTTAGAGCGTTGACATGAGGAGTAAAGTAGGTGACCAATGTTTACAACGGAGCCAGCGTGTCATCAGTGGTCAGACGCGTTACCTATCATCTGTATTTACTTCCCAAAAAGGATGCACATCCTTAGGCAAACTGGGTCATTGTCTTTAAAGTAAGATTGGGTTTATAAGAGCAATATTTCAGCATTGCTTTCCAGGAATGTTCTCTTTACGTGACGAAAGGTTCAGCAAGTGAGCACAGCCTTCTTCACGGGTACAGGCATCTGTCAACCCTTAACAACCCAGTTCCTCTTCATGTCTGCTGTCCTCACCAGTACTTCCATAATCCACATCTCTGGGTCAAGTATCACCCAGTAACCTAGGTTCTCCACCTACCATTCCCTGTGCTTTTTTTTTTTTTTAAAGTTTTATTTATTTATTCATGAGAGATACAAACACAGAGAGAGGCAGAGACATGGGCAGAGGGAGAAGCAAGGTCCATGCAGGGAGCCCGATGTGGGACTCGATCCCAGGTCTCCAGGATCAGGCCCTGGGCTGAAGGCTGCGTTAAACAGCTGAGCCACCCGGGCTACCCTCCCTGTGCTTTTGAAATGCAAATGTCTCCTGGGGGTAAACCATCTGAACACTAAAACAGTAGTATGAATCCATTTGTCTGCTTTTTCCCTGTGAAGGCCTGAACAGCACGGATGCTCTGAGAATCCGTTCCACTGGGAGGGCTCTTGCCATAACTCCACCAAGGTTAGCCTGAAGGGCTCACCTATAACCAAAACTCAGGGATAGAAGCCAGGCTGTCAAATAGATACTTTAAAAAAAAAATCTTTGTGCCAACTTTTTTTTTTTTGACTTGCCCTTCCTCTCTGTCCCCCTGTCATTTCTTATCACCAAGACCCAGGGTCTCTATAGGGTGCATTCGGTTAAGCTGATTCCCCGGCAGAGGGCAGAGAAGGGGGGCGGGGTTTCAGCTTTGCTGAAAAGCTGAGGCAGCTCCACAGCCTGCCAGCAGTCACCCAGAGCTGGCCATGATTCTCTTGCTGGGGGTAATGCCTGGAGGAGACCCAGCAAGGATATAATGAGGGAATCCATCTGGAAGGGGAGCTCCTGAGTTCTGGATCTGGGGGAAAGGCAAGGACAGCCTCCTGGTGGGGAACCCCACATTCCCCGCCCATCCCCATCCTTCCTGAGGTCCCATCTTCGGCCTTGGCTGCTGGAGGCTGCAACACCCAGGAGACACAGGATGTTTCCGTGGGCCAGCACCCCTGAAGAGCCTCTGGCCAGTTAGCTGAACTTCTGGTTTGCTCAGCTCATTTGTTTCTTTTACCTCTTGGCAAGGTTAAAGTAATACCTTCTGGATCGTTTTGATCACTTTTGAACAAGTCATAGGGACGGGTTTTCGTTTTTCTTCACAGCAGCGTTGCAATTGGTTTTTGTTTGTTTTTTTGTTTTTTTTTGAGAGACAGAGAGAGCACCCAAGTGGTGGGAGAGGTAGAGAGAGAGGGAGACAGAGAATCCTAAGCTGGCTCCTCCCTCAGCGTGGAGCCCAGCATGGGGCTCCATCTCACAGCCCTGAGATAATGACCTGAGCTGAAACCAAGAACCTGACACTTAACTGCCTGAGCCACCCATGCGCCCCAACAGCAACATTTTAAAGACTGTTCTGTTTGTTTCTGCCACGACTCCCTGCCACTGTAGCTAGCAAGGTCCGAGGCCAATAGAGGGCCCCTTCCCTGGCAGAGAGATGGAGGGTCAGCAGCACATAGGCCAGCACCAGGAAAGGGCAAGGGGCAGGGAGGAGGGGAATGGAGACCCAGAGGGGCCTCCCCCGAGAAACAAATGGGTCTCCTCTTTGTATCCTGGTGGAATTGCTGCAAATCTTAAAACAGTTAAGCAAAATCAGCAAGTTGATGTTGGGTGAGTGGGCCTCGAGCCACAGAGTGGGCCCTGGGAGGGTGGGTGCTGGGAGGCCAGGGATAAGGTCCGTGCCCCCCCGCCCTGGTCACACCTTGGGGTGCTGCCAGCCCAGCGTCTGGAAACCACAAGCTGCCCCACACAGCAGGCAGCACCAAGGGGGGCCCATGCAGGCCTCTGTCCTGTTCGGCGGTTTTGCCAAAGCCTTGCATCAGGACACAGAAGGCAAATTTATTTGATTTGTGAGCGGCTCAAAGCTGATTAATAGCAATGATCAAATTGGTCATTGATTAAAACTAACAGATGACCAAATCAGCCTAGAAAAGGATCTGGACAAGCCTGAGATAAATAAATCGAAAGTTGAATTTAGTAAGAACACACTTTAGAACTGTGCCCTCTTCTTGCAGTGCCCTTCCTGCTCATGGGGTGCCTCCCCTGGGGCACGTTCTGTCTCCATCCTCAGGGTTGGGGTATTTCCCGGTCAACCTCGCAAGACCTGAGGGCACAGAGCGGAGGGGCAGGCCGCTCTGCACGGAGTAGGGAGCCCGATGTGGGGCTCAATCCCCTGACCCTGAGATCATGGCCTGAACTGAAATTGAGAGTCATACACTTAACTGACTGAGCCATCCAGGCACCACCGAAACCTAGGTTCTGATCTCTGTTTTTGTCAATCTACTCAGGCTTATCTCAGGGGTAGGTAAGGTATTACTCTGGAAGAGCTTTTCTCTTAACTGTGTTTTCCTACTGCTTGTCCCTAGACATAGAATTCCTCTTTTCTAGATTAATAATGCCAGGTATTAAAGCCCGACTTTAAAAATTCCCTTTCAGGGGGATCCTTGGGTGGCTCAGTGGTTTAGCACCTGCCTTCGGCACATGGTATGATCCTGGAGTTCTGGGATCGAGTCCTGCATTGGAGTCCCTGCATGGAGCCTGCTTCTCCCTCTGCCTGTGTCTCTGCTTGTCTCTCTCTCTGTCTCTCTGTCTCTCGTGAATAAATAAAATCTTTTTTAAAAATTAAAATTAAAAAATAAATAAATAAAAATTCCCTTTTAGACTCTACACATCCATGAGACGAGTGGCTTGTCTGGGGGCACTCTTGGTGAAGTGAAAAGCCTGAGCTAAACAGCATTTTTGGGGAGGGGGGCCCTAGCATAAGAGGTACTGATCCCTCCTCGGGGCTCTGGTGTGTCCATAATGTGTTCTCAGTTGGTGATGATCTTTTAGCAATGGCAATCTTCAACAGTAATAAAGATAAATCTCCCCTTTTATGCGGTGATGGTTTACAATCAGACATTTCCTACCAAATAACCTTAGTGTGGCGAGTTCATGTTTCTCATACTGGGGGTCTGCTGGTGTATTCTAAGAAGTCCTGAGAATGGCTCGGCCAAAGACCAAATTGCAGCTGCCCCTCCCCGCAAGTTCATAGGCCGACTCCCAGCCCCCAGAGTGATGGCATTATGAAGTGGGGCCTCCAGGAGGTGCCTTCCACTATGCCAGAGCTAGCAAGAAGACGGCCATCTATGAATCAGGAAGTAGGTTCTTACCAGACATGGAAGTGGTGGACACCTCCTGAAGGATGAGCTGTAAATTTCTGCTGTTTATGAGGTGCCCTGCGCTGGCATTTTGTTAGAGAAGCCCAAGTGGACTAAGACAGCCCCCTCTTTGCTGGAGTTTGAGAGGCTTCTAGCCCCTGGAGGAAGGTCAGCAGTCAGAGGTGGGTGGGGAAAGAGTGTTGGGTGTAGAGTCAGATAAGGGGGTGCTGAACCCTGGCTTTGCCACTCGTAAGGTGTGTAAGCACAGTGGACAGGTTGTTTAACCTCTGGGGACTCCTCATAGGCAATATGAGGATGATAGTACACACCTCAGAGCTCTCTCCCAGAGCTCCCAGGGGGGCCATAGTACACAGGCCACCAGGCCACCAGCGTGCAGAGGTCGGCAGGGCAGAGCCTAGGACAGCTGGGGCCCAGGCTGGTCCCACCGCCAGTGACCGTACACATATGTCACTAAGTGTCCCTCAGTGAACGGTGGGAAGCACAGAGAGCCTCTGTAATGGGGCCTTATCATGGCCTGGCCCAGCTGGCCTCCCCACCTCCTGGGGACTTGATCTTTTGCCGACCAGAGTAAAATGGTAGCCCACCCTCCAGAAGGTTCCACTCAGCCCAGCGCCTAGAGGATTGGAGCCTACATGTGAGCAGCAGCCACGTTCCCTCCTTCTCCCACACAAAACTTCACCCCGAATTATTTCACCGGAGTTTCAAAAATACTAATAGGAACAAAATGTGTATTATCTTTTTTGGCGGGAAAGGGCTTCAACTACCTAACTTTTCAAGGGAAAACATGTATTTATCTTTCTAAAAGAACATTGGTAAGAATTCATATGTACACGGGGAGACAGAGTGAGAGAGATCTTCCCTCCTCTCTCACTTCTGATGGCTTCAGCAGGATGCCAGCCTCCGTGGCCACCAAACAGGCAGAGGGGGTTGGCAGCCATGTGGCCCCGGCGGCCCTCGGGAGGAGCCATGAGTCCAGGACAGTCAGGCCTGGCTTTTCTAACTGACAGTTGCTGAGGAGAGAGCTGAACTCTGAGGCAGGCAGGGAGAAGCTCATGTCCTCGGAAGGGAAACAAGCCCGCCCCTGATGCCCAGCCTCTTCTCTAGACAACACCCAGTGGCCACACTCCCTAAAAGGCCCACCTGCCCCACACTCCTGGGGCCTCGTTGCCGGAAAGCAAACAACCACCTCACACACAGGGGGTGTCCAGTCCTACATCCCCTGTCAACTGCTGCTGTTCTTTAAAATGCCACTTTGCTGAGGGTAGGGAGCAGTCGGGGCTGTGGGGAGGGATGGTCCCTCAGAGGCCTGGCAGAGAGGGTGAGGCCAGCGCCTCAGGTCCGCAGGCCCTGGGGTACAAGTGGGAGCTGACCACGTCCATATACCGTCTGGGCCTGGGAAAGCACCATCTGGAAGGCAGGAGCCCATCTCAGGGTCTTTCCTTAGCGCCCTAGACCACCTTTCCATCTAGGGGGTCTCCAAAGCTCGCTCCCTTTCCGCCTGTCCACAGAGGCTCCCTGGCTCTGCAGACTCCCCAACCTGAGACCTCAACCCCTTTTGGACCTTACTTGCAGAGGACAGCATCGGTGTCAGACAGGGCCTCATACAAACACATGTCGCCTTCGTCCTCATCTCTGGTGACCACCATCGTGAGACCCAGAAACAGGGCTGCCGTGGCCAGCTTCATTGTCCAGTCCATGGACACCTGCAACAGAAGGACGGTTAGAGCTGCTGGGCCCTCTGCAGGGGGCGCCCTCCTCGCCCTGCACGTGCCCACCCCAGGCCCCACCAGGAGGAACCGAGACCTCTCGTAAGCAGAGGGAGGAGGGCGGGCAGCTGCCTGGGCCCCAGCAGCCAATCTGCCACCCGGACACAGATACCTTGGGAGGATCTGGGCCTGCTCCAAGCCGGACTCAGTTTGCAGTCCTGGCCGAGGCCCCTCCTCCGTCGGAGCAGGGCTTTGCCGGCCGCTAATCCCCGCTGAGAAGCAGGAGGACTTATATAAGCCTCCCGCCCCGGCTCCTCATCCTGTCCCTGCCACTTGCCCCATGTGTGGCCAGCTGGCCATGGGCCAACCTGCTCTTTGGCTTCAAGGCAAGCCCCGGGAAGCTGGTGACCCCAGGCTTTGGGCTGGGTGGGGGTGGAGGGCGGGTTCTGGGGTGCTTGCAAGAGCAAGACCTTGGTCGTCCTCCTAGGAGCAGAGGTTTGGCTGGGCTGTGCCCCTCAGACAGCTCTGCATCTCCTGCCCACAATTCCTGAGCCACCTGCCTTGACAGCCTTGGGGCTGACGGATGGTAGGTAGGTGGTTGGACGCAGTGACCCTGTGGAGGAGAGGCTGCTGCACTTAGGGCACCCCAGCCCCGAGGCCAGCTCCAAAGGGCCAGCTGAGGACAGAAGGGCTCCTCTGACTGCACCTTGCCGCAGTGCTGAACTCAGCACTCTCCCAAAATAATAGTCTCTGGAGAAGACACCAGCAGGGCTGCTGGGGAACGGGGCAGCTTGTGCGGTGCTGGGTGCCGGGTGCAGGTGCTGGCTGGGAGGCAGGGGGGTAGCAGCCTGCAGGAAGTTGTGTGTGGGACTCTGACTGGAACTGGAGAGGGCAGGAGAAGATCAGAGGCACTTCTCCCACGGCCTTTCCACTTGATCTGCGCTCCGTCTTCTCTGAGATGGGGTGTGGGGGTGTGCTGGGGGACATTCCACCAGCTGGGAACCGAGGACTCCTGGCTTCTGCTCTGAGCCACTCCAGGCTGCTGGGGTGGGGGTTGGTTGGTGGAGGGGGGGGGTGGCGATGCCCCACCAGGACGCACCACTTCTCGCCTTCAAAAACAAGTAAAATGCCCCCGTCACTCTTGTGCCTTGCTGAGGAAGATGAGATCATCGCCATAAAGTATATGCAGCTCGAGCTTTAGAGAAACTATTTCCAGCATAGCTTGCTTTTCAGCTGAATTCCTGCTTCCAGGATCCCGACTTCAAGCAAAAAGCCCTTCTTTGGGGCTACAAATTAAACACACTTCTCAATAATTAGAGTCCCTGATGTATGATGAGCACCCCCCCCCGCAGGGGACTCATTCCTAAGATTATTCCCCTTCTGGAATAGCCTCCTCACAAGATGGCTGTGAGAACGGAACCAAACAAACTATATAAGGTCTTCAGTGCACAAATGGCCCTCCTCTAGGGATTGCTCAGTCATTCGTGTGGAGTATTCTTCCACAGGTCCATCCATTTTTTCATTCATTCATTCATTCATTCATTCATTCATTTGCAGTCCATCTTGCCACTGGGTACTGAGCACCTCCCATGTGCCAGGCCCTGGGCCCGCTCCATCATATAGGGTTAGCATGGTCCCTGTTCTTGCAGAGCTCACTGGATAGCCAGAGCCACAAAGACAACGCTGCCAGCATTGGTATTGGCGTTGGTATTCCAAGGCCAAGAGACTCTTGTTTTCAAACTGGCAGCCGCTAGAGAACCAAAACTTTTTGAATGCCAACAGCTCTTAGCACCGAAAAATGGCTGTCTAGACGTGGGGAACAGTCTCCGGCATAGGGTGGCTCTTGCTGAGCCCACTCGTTCAGCAATTCTTCTTTACTCAGGATGGGCCAAGCTTTTATTATTGAATCCTCTTGCTATGATCCTCTGAAGTAAGTAAGTACTATTATGATCCCATTTTACAGAGGAGGAAACTGAGGTACACAGAGGTTTGCTAACCTGGACCTTGGTCACATGGATTGTAAGTGGCCAACCTGGGATTTGAACCCATGCCATCTGCCTCCAGACTCTGCTCCTTGACCACTCCCCTCTATTGTCCCCTCTTGGAGCTTTGCTGCACCCTGTCTTTCCCCCTCTATTCCCTTTGTTCTTGGAAGGAAGCCCAGAATCTCCCACTTGGCCCATAATGTCTGCATGATCTGGCTCTTCCTGCTTCTCGAGCTGTGACTCTCTACTCTTCGCTGCTGCTGCTCAAGGTTGAACTCCAGCTCAAGCCTCAAGCTCCTTCCTGCCGCAGGGCCTTTGCCTTCCTATGCACCGCCCTCACTTCCCACCCCTTTTTGGTGGGTGGCTGAAATGTCATTTCTTCAGAGAAATGTCCTGACCCCCAGGTTCCATTAGATTCCTGTTAGACAAAATCATAGCTCCTTAGTCCTTTCCTTGTTCTTATATGCTTGTAATGCATTATTTTGTAACTATTTGCTCAGATATTAGCTATAGTCCCCCCACCCCCATTCTACAAGTTCCTTGTCCTGTAGGCTGTACGGCATCTGTGTCCAGCATCCCAAGCACATTTCCTGGCATGTCTAGATGCTTAATAAACTACCCTGTGAATGCCTGACAAACCTGCCACCTCTGTTTCTGTTAGACCTATTTTCACGTAATAGCTCCTAACTCCATAAACATCAGCAGGAAGTAACCACTCAGGTTGGCCCCTGGCCCTGGGTCCCTTTTGCTTATTTATCTAACCTTCTCTGGCTTGTTTTCGTACAGAGAGATCTGACACACAGTGCAGTGGTTCTTGGCATTTTCGAATCTGATCTTTCTCTTGGGGATTCACAGGACTTCACTTCATACGCAGAGTCCAAGATCTGGGAACCACATTCAAGCCCAGGAAGGCACAGCACCCCCTTCCCATTACCAGCCTCTTTTACTCAATTGCCTTATTTCTGGAAACTCCCATCTCTAGATCCTGAGGTAGCCACCCTGGAAGCCCCCTTCTTTTCCTCCGATCATCTGGGCTGTGACCACATCCCAGTACGATCAGGTAGGCTGAGCCTGTTGGTTTCCTGAGATGCTTCAGTCCCTCCAAAACCCAGGATCTGTTGGGCCAGGGCTTCTGGAACTCTTGACTTCTCTTCTATCCCTCCAGACCTCTGTGCCTGACACCTGCCCCATCACTACCAAGGTGTCACCTTTCTTTATCCAGACAGATGCTCATGCTTTCCCTCCCTCCTAAAACTTTTCACCACGTATGCCTCTGGAATCTCTGAATTTATGGCGACCACGTTCCCCCTCACTCTTTTTCTTTACTCTACATTTAAAAAATTGAGACTTACACTCCATAAAATTCACCCTTTTAACATGTACAATTCAGTGATTTTTTAGTATTGAAATCACTAAATGTTATGCAACCCTCACAAAGTTATGCAACCATCATCACTGACTAATTCCAGAACATTTTAATCACCCCCAAAGAAGCCCCAAAGCAGAACTCATTAACAGTTACTCCCCATTCCTACCTCTCCCAGTCCTTAGGAGCCACTAATCTACTCTCTATCTTTGTAGATTTGGCTATTCTGGGTGTTTCATATAAATGGAATCATACTACAGTTGACCCTTGAACAACATGGGGGTTAGGGATGTCAATCCCCTGTGCAGTTGAAAATCTGTGCATAACTTTTAAATCCTCCCAGATTTAACTGCTAATAACCTACTGTTGCCTGGTATCATGACCTGAGCCCAAGGCAGGTGCTTAATTGACTGAGCCACCCAGGCACCCCAGTCTTTTTATTTTCTTGATGGTGTGGTTTGATGCACAAAAGGTTAACTCCAATGGACTCCATAGAACTTCAGTGAAGTCCAATTTATCTATTTCTTCTTTTGTTGTCTATGTTTTTGGTGTCATATTCAAGAAATTATTGCCAAATCCAATGACATGAAGCTTTTCCTCTATGTTTCCTTCTAAGAGTTTTCCAATCTTATATTTATATCATTGATCCATTGTGGGTTAACTTTTTTGAAGATTTATTTATTTATTTTAGAGAAGGAGAGAAAGAGATCACAAGCAGGAGGAGAGAACCCCCAAGCAGACTCCCCAGAGTGGAGACCCTGACACGGGGCTCAATCTCAAAACCCATGAGATCATGACCTGAGCAGAAACCAAAAGTCAGAGGCTTAATCAACTCAGCTACCCAGGCGCCCCCATTGTGAGTTAATTTTTATAAGTTGTGTTAGGCAAGGGTCCATTTTTATTCTTTTTCATGTAACTATCCAGTTGTTCCAACATCATTTGGTGAAAAGATTGCTTTCCCCATTGATACCACTTCACCTCTACCTCTTGCCATAACCAGAATCTCCCTGACTCTTGAGAAGCTGCTTCTCCTGAAGTTCTTCAAAGTGTGAATGCTCAGTCTCCCACCCCCAACATGATTCAGGGTTGGGAGGTAAGGTTGACTAGCACCCCATTCCCCATTGCTGCTTCTCTACCATGACTCCTCAGCCCTCTTGTCAAAATCTACATTTCATGAGGCTTACTCCATCTATCACTCCTTGCTCACTGAAGACATTGGTACTTGGCATGGAAACTTTCCCTTGTTCTAAGTCTTGACATCAACCCAGGGGTAAATCCATATGCATGGAGACGCTGCTTCCAACACTTCTCCTCCTTCCTCTCTAGCCTCTTTTCTTTTATTTTTTTTAAAGATTTTATTTATTTATTCATGAGAGACACACACAGAGAGAGGCAGAGATATAGGCAGGGGGAGAAGCAGGCTCTCCATGGGGAGCCTGATACAGGACTAGATCCCAGGACCCTATGATCACGACCTGAGCCAAAGGCAGAGGCTCAAGCAGTGAGCCAGGTGCCCCTCTAGCCTCTTTTCCGATGGCAACTTCTTGGACACTGTCATCACTAAAAACCATTCCATCCCTGAAATCTTAAATTTAAATCTTAAAGCACCTATTCTCTTAACCTCTCATTCCTTTGCTCTCACTTCATTACTCCCACTGCATCTCATTCTGAACTCCAATCCCGTGACCACTGTCTTTTCTCCTTACTTATTCTGATTTCCTTCTCTCTGATGCCTAGTTTCCTATGGATCCTTACTTCCACTCTTCACTTGCCACCATCCTCAATTCCTTCCTCCTTATCCTCATGTTGTGGCTGTTGGGCATAAGTCCAATTTTGAAGCACTCTCCCTGCTCCACTGTGTACCCTTGCTGCTCTCCCCTC